GCCATGATGAAAATTTCAAACCTCGAGCACTACTGCAAGGAACTTGAGGACAGCAACGCCATCCTCAACGAAAAGTGTAACACGCTCTCAAGATCAAACACTAAAGAGAGTTCAGACAACAGGATAATCACCGAACTAAGAGAATCAGTACTGCTGATGAAACAACGATTGAGTATCATCGAGGAAGAAAACCAGAAATTAAATTTGCAAAAAGAGCAGGCGGATCTACTTTTAGAAATGGAGCAATTAAAAAATCTTACAGTCCTTAATAATCGCGACCCTTACATCAAATCGACGCACAATGGTAAAGTTTTGAAGCAAAATGGCAAAATGCCGACGACACCAGCCAGTAGGAAAGGTCTCATCTCGGTGTCCCCGGTTCGCAAACCAGATACGAACATCGAATTCAAACCATTTCAACATGCTTTCCAGCAAACAGACGTCAATCATAGATTGGCAGAAGAAAATCAAATCTTGAGGAAAACGTTGAACCAGATTGAATACGGCTTCTGCCAACCGACTCGAATGAAAACCGTGGCCATCCAAACGACGAATGAATACATAGTCGACATTTGCAACCTCCAACTGAACAAATTGTTAACAATCCCCAATAACTTGAGAACTGAAAACCGACAACTCTTCCTGAACATAACCGGTCTACAATGCTGCCTACGCAAGCGGCTACTTCATAGCGACAACCACCACCTCGGCCAACATTCCATCGCCACGCAAGACGCTTCAGTCCACAACTTCTTCAACGAGTTCTCAGTGAAAAATCTCGAACATTTATCAGTCCTTGTCAGCTTAGAAGAACAGATGGACATGTTCAGACTGGAAAGACACGGCGATCTAGAAATCTCTAAACAGAAAATTGAAACGATTAGCAACTCGATGAAAATTTTGAACGCAGGGCTCCACCAACTGAAATCTCTCCTCCAGTCAGTCGTCGACGGCAAACTTTCACCCACCCTCGCCGTCAGTCAGTTCAAATCTCAACAAGTTGTCCCGCTAACCGAAGACAGCGTCACCGAGCCGACATCCAATCAGGTTGCAGCTCTAAACGGTGACGTCATGAATGACGAAACGCAAGTAAAGCTGGTTAATTTGCAGAAACAACTTCAGGTAGTTAGTTTTTTTTACAAACTAACCGTAAAAATTTATTATTTATAAATTAATTACATTCATTTCCTTTTAATTGTCTTTAATTAGTTGTACTTTGCGATTTTATTCAGAGGACAGTTAAATTTTTAAGAAGTGCGTTACATAGATGCAAATTAAGTGATGGATTGACTGATTGATTGATTGACTGATGAATGATTGAATGATTGACTGATTGATTGACTAATTGATTGACTAATTGATTGACTGATTGATTGATAATTACATTCAATTAAATACAAAACAACATACAAGGAGAACGAAAAAAGATACAAAGAAATCATTTCAAGCTATAGAAGACATTTGCTATCAGCTGTGCAGGTTAAATGTTAATTATTATTAAATAAAAGATGTTCTAATGGTTGAGGCCCCTGGCACTGATGCTGCAGTGACCGAGTTTGAGTGCAAAGATATTCCCGCATATCACATGTGCAACGTGGGTTGGGGGGGTATCGATAACTCTGAAAATTATTTTAGATATTTGAATTTAATTTTGATTTATTTTTTTGATTAATTTACAATTTAATTCGAATAATTCAGGGAAAAATGGACCCAAATATAAAGGAGGCCCTTATGAACATAATCGAGTCACAAAGAATCGAGGACAAGGATTAAATTTTACTTAAATTTATATTTTAAAAAATTAATTTCGTAATATGTTATGAATTTTTCTGTCATAATTCCTTAAAAAAGTATAATAAGGACGACGAGCTTGCGTCATCTTGACGTAAGTGATGACGTAGACGATGATAATTTTTCTTCTACAAATTTCGATTTTATTCAAACATTTTTGATCTTTTTAAGTGAAAACTACCGTTAAAAGTTTTAGAAAATTGCCTGCATTTTATAAATTATCTAGCGCCTTATTCTAACATATATTATATTATATTATACATAAATATATACATTTATACCATGTATACGTATGTATATCATACATAAAAACAAACATATATACAACATATAGATATATTTACATATAAATTTATACAACTTTTTAAATTTTTCTTGGAGATCTTCTGCCAATTTTCTAATTGCAATGGTTGTCACAATTTACACAAACACTGGCACACATGAAAAGACACACACACATACATACACACACACATACATACACACATATTTATATTACAAATTTTATTTATTTTTATTCAACTATTGTACGTAATATATGTTTGTCCGACTAACTTCAAGACCATCCAACCAATCAATCAATCAAAAATAAACTAACATCCAAACAAACAAAAGAACATACAAACAAACAAACAAACATACATACATACATACAAACAAACATACAAACACATTAACAAACAAACAAACAAACCAACTAACAACCACACAAATCAAAAGCAAAACAACTAACTCATTTGCATTAATTTCAACTTTATAATCCAGTCATTTGAGATATGTTTGATTCTATTTTTTTTAAATTTCATTCAATTTCAAATTTGATTCGATTCACTTTTAGTCATTATACGTATATATATATATGATATATATATATATATGATATATATATATATGATATATATATATATATATATATATATATCAATTAATGAATATATGAATATATATATATATATAAATATATATATATATATATATATATATCCATTCTTAACTTGCAGCGTTCACAATTAAACATTTCAAATATGTCATGTAGGTACAACAAACATACAGACAGACGAACAAACAAACACAGACACACAAACAAACACACGCACGAACACACACATTAACACACACACATTCCTGTTTATTAATTATTGTATTCAATTTCTATTTAAACATGCTTAATGGTCTGTATTCTGTCTCGTCTGAAAACTGGATTTTAGTTAGATATTGTCGATTCGTAAGCTATTATAATTACAAATAATTATAATAATAATATTATTATTATGATAATTATTATTATTATTTATTAATTCTCTCTGAATGATTCTCGGTAAGACCTGACTTCTTTACTCTTGGTTTAACAACGCAAATAATATTGTGGTTTTATCATTGTAATGCTTTCTATAGAGCATATTCACGTTGGCTTATGATGAAACTACAACTGTACAACATTTACAACTGATGTTTTTCAGGTTCTAGGCATATAGAAAAAACTTATAAACAGACATTCACTTGCAGACATAAAGTAATATATATATATATATATATATATATATATATATATATATATATATATATATATATATATATATATATATATATATATATGCTATAAACACAGACATACACGTACACACAAACATACACGTACACACGCGCACAAACAAACACACACACACACGCGTGGTTAAGGACTTAATTTGAAATGGTAATTTATTTGGACCACTGGTTATTAATTTTATATTTCATAATTTCTCCAATTTACAATTCAAGTTTTCTGATTATTATTATTATGATTAATATTATTATTATTATCATTATTATTATCATTATCTGTGTATGTACCGGTACGTATGTGTATATTTGTGTGTTTGTGTGTGTGTGTGTATTGTTTGTATACATACACACAAAAAATAAAACACATTTATATTTATATTTTCTGTATTTAACTAGGTATCGCAATGTTTTCGATACGGTAAATTTTATGGGTACACGTTTCGATATCGGTATACGTTTCGTTATCGGTATACGTTTCGTTATCGGAGCACTTTTGCCATCGGTAGTATTTTAGACTGTATCGGAATGTAAGCGGGCATACATACACACAAATACGTACGTCTATGTATTTACGTTTTTACGTGGGTATTCGTTAATTTCGAAATGAGAAAAATCGCAATTCTGACATACCTGCAAACTAATAGTTAACGCATTCAGAGACTAGCTTTATTAAAATATGCAATATCAGGCATGATTTATTCAAAATTATTCATTCACAATTTTATTATAATAATATAAATTAATTTATAAATATCAATTTAATAATAGTTCAAGGACGGGAGAGGAGGGAGAGTAAGGGACCAAAATTTGACGGGGAATAAAGGGCCGAAATTTGACGGGGCGCCAAAAACTGAAAGTACTTGGCAGTCCCATTTTTGTTTATTGGGCAATTTTTGTGTTTATTTTTATATATAAAACAAGTTAGATTTTCAAAAAATTACGATAAATGATTGCTGACTGTTGGCTAAGTCCACTTTGGCTACACCCTGACCCCCCTCAATAAATTCTCCCTCTAAATTCGCCCCCGCATATCACACATTAACACATTTATTTATATATAATAATATTTGTGTTAATTATTTTTTTCCTATTTAAATGATTTTCGTTAAATTTTATTTTCATAATAAAAGTTAACCTGCTATTTTTTTTCTTTGTTATTTAACTCTTGTTCGTTAAATGTTACGGGATAGAATACATCGAACACTACAATACAAATACATACAAACACACACACACACAATACACACGTATACACACACACGCACATACACACCGACATACATAAAAAACCTAATGAAGAATGCCTGTCTAATTTGATTAAACAATCAAACGGTCAACCATATCATTTTTACAATTTTTTTCCACCAACCTTGATTCTATGTTTTTGTATTTGTATCATTTACTCTCAATAAGTTTCGTTTCGTTTCGTTTTTCTTTTATGTCAGTGTTTTGTGTGTGTGTGTGTTTGTTTGTGCGTGTGTGTGTGTTTGTTTGTGCGTGTGTGTGTGTGTTTGTTTGTGTGTTTTATAAGTTTGTGATATAAAAAGTTTTTTTTTAAATTTTAGAAGTAAAGTAACAGAAACAGACGTACATACACCGCAGCACACACACACACACACACACACACAGTTAACATACTGTAACACACACACACGCACATACATTATATTACATTTATTTATTTACTTATATCGATCAATAATATGAAAAAGGTGATAATTCGTAAAATAAATCATTGTACAATTAATACTTAGCCAAGAAGAATTGTTTTTAAGAAACACGTGTGTGTGTGCGTGTGTGTGTGTGCGTGTGTGTGTGTGAATGTGTATAAATGTGTGTGTGAGCGTGTGTGCGTGTGAGTTTATTTGCACGTGTATCTAAGCTCACTTTCTGGAGTTATCATTGGTTGTTGTCGGCAACCGTTTGGACAGGCGAGCTGTATGGTGATGAAGATGATGCTGACGTCATCATTATAATGATGATGAAGATGATGGTGAAAGGATGAAGACGAAGATGATGACAAAGATGATGATGGCACATGATTGGTTCAATATGATTGATTGACTGATTGTTAGTCTATGATGATTATTGGTTTAACGTGATTGATTGATAATTTATGAACGCTAGCTAAACTAGATTACACATATCACAACAACAACAACAAGAACTACTACTACTACTACTACAACTACTACTACAACTACTACTACAACTAACCCTAACCCTACAACTACTACTACTACACCCCAAACCTCGGCGCAGGGGTCATTGCAGGTGCAGGTGTTGCAATTGTTAGGATCCTTCAGGAAGCCACTTATTGGACATCTGCAAGATATTGGCACACAGGAGCCCGACCCTAAATTTTATTTTTGAAATTTAAAAATTTTTCTATAAATCAACTAATTTTCGTCAAATCATTTTCAAAATGTCAAATCAAATCCAAATAGTCCAATTAAAACATGCAGAAGAAGCGAAATGACACGGCCAAAAAAGAAAAAAAGAAAGGCCGCATTTAAGGTCAGCCAGTTAGCTCAGACGGTAGAAGTGCCGTGCTTCGCGTTGCCATTACGCAATGACTTGTTTCGAATGCTGACTGTTCGAAACCGAAAGACTATTACAATTGATCTGACATACGATGCGTGCATACAAACTACGATGTGTCTTACGATGTGTGTGTTTGATTTAAATCATGGACGTCCCATTATTTGAAACCATTCGCCATTTTAATCATCGTAATATTGCTATCACGTCATCAAAACGTTATCATCATCGTTCCCGTCATTTTAATTAATAATTTACGACCAAAAATATTGAATAATATTTAAAATATTCATTATATTATAAAATAATTGCGAAATACTTACAAGGGACGCAAGTTGCACTCATAATTCCCACACAATTAAACCCTGGGCAAGACATTTGCTCTACCACGCACTGTTGACCAGCCGGACATTGGTTATACTGTTGTACGTGGGGGTTAAAACATCAAATTATACATTTTACAAATCCATCGAGTTAAAATGTGCTTATTTTATGTTTGAATGTCTCGGTACGGGCCGATCTAAACAAGCTTTAATGATCACAACGCCTGGTAAAATATTTTATAATTTTCAAATAATATTTTAAATATTTACACGAACAATTTATGCTAATTACATTTGCGTATTAATCCGGAAAAATGTTTGATAATAATTAATTTTTAAAGTTGTAAAAATTGAAAAATTTATAAAATAATTACCCGATCGTAGCATCTACTAGAACAAGTCTGACAAAAGCACCTTGGATCATCGGTACTTTTTAGGACCACAAGACTTTGGCATGGTTTAGGAAGAGGTGGGCAAGGAGGGCACGCGGCACTTGCCCTATCTTGTGGTGGGGGTGTAAAATTATTAAAAACTTTATACGATATAATTTTGTAAGTATTATTTTATTTTTTATTATTTTATATATTATCAGTTATATGTTATCAATATAGTTTTAATTCATATATTCATTGCAGTTCTTTCTTTCTCGTGCCTTATCCTTTCAGCACATTGGCGACCATCGACCTCCACAAAAGCCGATCTTTAACACTTTGTAGTAGTTGAAATTTGATGATATTCAACAAGTGACACAAGGACTTCACGAGTGTTGTTCGTTGCTGTTGACCGCGATCTCTTTTCCCTGCAATCTTTCCAGTAGTTGTTAGATTTTCCATTCTTTCCTTCCGCATGATGTGACAGAAAAACGTTAACTGCCCCGTCGGATTCTCTGTAGTAATTTCCTCTTTTCATAATCGGGCCGTTTTAATATGATACATCCTCATTTGAAGTATGAGAGATTCAACTAATTTTCATAATTTTTCTCAAGATCTCTTTTTCCATTTCTTTAGAAATTGTCCAGGACTCAGAGCCGTAAGTTAGCACAGGAAAAATGTAACACCCTAACAGTTTTAATTTTGTTGATATTCAGATTTTACTGTTGGTGAGAATGTTTTTCATTTTATAATATGCATCTTTTGCCATGGTTTTCCTTCTTTTGATATCCATATCACATTTACAACCAGATGTAACCAAACTTCCGAGATAATTGAAGCTGTTGACTTGTTTCACCTGTTTACCATTAATGATTATGGAGCAGATCGGGGCGGTTTTGCTTTTACTGATAACCATGCACTCTGTTTTG